CCTGCGCGCTCCCGTCGTACTGCACGGTCCCAAAATGACCTGCAGTGCTTGTGGCGACGCTCTCCACGGCGCCGCCGCTTTCAGCGGCGCCCTCCGTGGCACCGCCGGACTTCTCCTCTATACGTGCAGCAAGTCCTCCGACCAGCTGCACCAGCTGGCCCATTTGCTGTGTCAGCGAACTGATCTCAGACCGCATGCTCGATCTGCTCGCTGCTATGTATGTCTCCTGCCTGCGAGCCGTCCGGAGTGGTCCCTCCGGTTCTGCGGCCCGCCATCCTTAGTGGACTCCCTCGAGGGAATAAACACCAGTGTGTTGGTATGTCCGTACTTGGGAGGAGAAGACACGCTTTAACTCTCTCTGATTAGGCACCCGCGGGAGCGAGGAAAGGAAGGGAAGAAGTGGCCCTCCCGAATTCGGGGAAGGGGGCCTACACATAATAGCCTTTTTCAGGCATACGCATGCTCCTGTCTACGTACCCCCCCCGTGCTGCTAGCAGATCTACCATGCTCGTATCCAGACACACGAACAAATGGCCAGTGTGATTTCTTCCGTATCGCGCCCATCGGTGTCACCCCACCGGGGGTAGGTGCGTTCTGAGCGAAATTATTCGATTGCATTTCCGCACCGGTATCGGTGGTATGGCACCCATCGGTGTTATTGCACCGATGTTATAGCACCGGGGAAAAAAATAATCAAGATAAGAATTTCCCATTACTTAAAAAACGATCGCATCCCGGTGCCATAACACGCACAATTACGGTACTCGGGTTGTGCAACCCCCGCCCTCTCCAAAATAAGTACACACTATTGACAATCACCGTTTACAGCAGTACTTGTTGTCGCCGTCAGGAAAAACGAGGACGTTTTGGGCAAAGTTCCAGCAGCTTTCACAGGTGTTTCGTATTACAGTAGGTGTCTCGGTATAGTGAGTGCCGGTACGTGTCCAGGAGGGCAGACCGGCACTATACACCGGTCACCGGCACTATCCAGAACAGTGCCTGAATAGTGCCAAGCCGGCACTATTCAGGTTCTACGAATCCCTCAATAATGCCGGCTTGGCAGTGTTTAGGACTGCTCGACTTTAGATTGCAGCGCGCTTACGCTTTGCGGGGCTGACAGAGTACCAACCGAAGTGTATTCGGATCAATTTTGAGGTGGGCGACGTGGGCGGGCTTTTTTTGTTTCGTGAGGCTCCTAGCCTGTCGAACACGGCTTTGGTCAAATATTATTACTTGACCAGATACATTTGTTGCATCACTGTTCTCTTGGCACCTCAGCGCACACACTATGGTCTTGGACGTTACCGCTGCCTTTCAATCGTAGACCGTGCGGAACGATTAAAAGTAACCACGCATTTACATGGTGTAGTCGGAAGAAGGCGGCAGCACTGTTCAGGCAACCTCGAAGGCACCCTTCGACAGCGAAATAATGACGCTCATGCACGCCCCCGATGTACATTTGAAGGTACAACATATGGATGTAGAGCTCCTTACATGAGCACAGCAAAATCAGATGAAACCCCAAGGGATGAAGAGGACCGGGAACTTCCCGCTTCCTTCGATAACAAGCTGGAGACAGGAAAACAAGCCTTCAGAAGCGAGAAAAACGACCGCAACAAGAAGCGCCATGCTGAACCGCTGCAGCTTGAACTGATCTACCCCCTGGCCGTAGAGCTGGTAGGGTCTTCAGCAGCAGCACGGGTACTTCTATCGGTGGTGTGAGGCGTGTGTATGGGGTCGATGTATTATTTGTGTATTGTTAGCATCGACCGCTCTACCCGGCTGATGAGCGAAAATACGTCAGTCTCAGTGCGATTAAAAACAGAAAATATTGATAAGTTTCTTAAGGCCCAGATCTGGACCCCGTGAGAGGGTGTCATGCAGGAGGCCAAGCTATTATGATCAAAGAAACGGTAGCAACAGCGGAGAACTGCCCGTGTCTGCCAAGGCTACTACTTTGCAGACGCGTTCGGTTCGGAGTGTTTTCATCCCTATACTTGTATTTACCCCCACTATTCTCATCACTACTATTTCCGCTATATTTCGGGCGTTCATCTCTAGACTCTGCTCCCTGCGGGTTTGTTGTGAGGATAGTCATCTGGCTTGAAACTCTTGTTCTCTTCTACGCCATTTTTCCCTCCTCCATCGCCACTGCGATGCTTCGCTATTTTTCCCTGTCCACATCCTTTGTCACGATCAACATCCTTCTTTTCGCCCGCCTCACTGCTACTGAATTCCCAAACAATTGGTCGACTTGGCTGTGTGTGGTGGAATTGGTCGATCGATAAACCATGACAATCGAAGACGTCACGAGTTCCTACCGACAGAAGCGAGCTAAACTTGTAGCCCGAAGGTAAATCGTCTCCGAATCCTGTTCGCGTGGAAGGCCTTGAGGCGAAAAAAAGGCTGTATATGTATGTGTGGTCTGAACCGGCACCATTGAGCTGTACCAATGTGCCTGAATCGGCACTATAGTGGGCAGCCCTCAAAAGTGCCGGTTTGACACTATTGCGGTCTCTGGCCGTGTCAAGAAAATTTACCGGCACAATACCGGGACCCCTACCGTATGAAAACGTGTTGGATAAAGCATACAATCGGGAAAGTTGGGTTAGGCATTGGGAATCAGGGTCTGCGTCCCCCTACTTGTTCAATGTCTTCATGCATGAACTGTTGTCGCGCGAAGGCGGTCCTAAAGTTCTCCCACCCAACGTTGTCCAGGGTTGGAATCAGAAGAGCTGCGAAGGGCCCGGAGAACAAGTCTTCTTGAGCAACGTACTCCTGTGGTTTACCCCCAATAGTAATGCACATTACTCAAGGTCGGGGGCAACCAGAACCTTGCTCAGCACCCTCATCTATAACCCCAGCCGCAAGCGAGGTTTGAAGATGGCGAGTAGAGCGCTTATACCTCCTTCACTTTATTGTAGGTGAACCCAAGGGTGCCGAGGAAAAAATGTTTTCTGACATCAATGTACCCTCCAGAGGCGCTGAGGGGGGGGGGGGGGGGGG